CTATTGCAACAAAAGACTTTTTAAGTCGTCGCAATTCGAAGATTGTTCGTCTAGCAAAGATCTTCAACTCTTCACTCTCTTATGCATGTCCCTCTTCGGATCTGCTGGCATTGTCAGTTTCAAATGGCTCAAGACTATTTTCAACCCGTTGCTTGTGGTATCCTTCTTGATGTCAGCTGTGGCAGTGGCTTGTTTACTAGGAAGTTTGCAAAATCTGGGACATACTCAGCTGTGATCGCTTTGGACTTCTCTGAGAATATGCTTCGCCAATGCTATGAATTCATTAAGCAAGATGATACTCTCCTCAATGCGTAAGCTCTCTGTCCTGTTTCTGAATCTTTTTTTCATGTGTGGTGAGCTTCCCTGTAGCACTGAAGGAAAAGTTTCTGTTGGATCATGGATGCAGATTAACAGGGGATTTAGGGTTGAATTAGGAGCCATAATTTTCCAATCCAGTACTCACTTCATGCTCACTAATTAGCTATTGAGAAGTTGGGGAAGGTCAAAGCATTTTTGATGCAACAAACCAAGCATATTATCAATAAAAGATTAGGGCAGGGGATCACTATGATGTTTGTTGGAAGCAAATGTTTTTTCTAGTTTAATACTCCCTCCATTCCAAATTGTAAGACGTTTTGGCTTTTCTAAATACATTGTTTTTGACTTTTATTATGTATATCCAGACATAGTGTATATCTAAATGCATAGCAAAAGTTATGAATCTAGAAAAGCCAAAATATCTTATAATTTTGAATGGAGGGAGTACCAGCAATACTAATATCTATTGTCTAAAGACTGTAGTGGATTGTAATCAACAGTTCATCCATTATTTTGTTACTGTATTTCCCCCAAGAAAATTTCCCCCCCATCGAGCTTTCAATAAAATATATAAGTTAAGCAATAATTGATAACTTTTGTTATCTTTTTTCCAAGATCAAGCCATGCAAACTGATGACTGTTTTCCTCTTTTGGTTCTGCAGGAATCTAGCACTCGTGAGAGCAGATATTTCAAGGCTCCCTTTTGCTTCTTGTTCAGTAGATGCCATTCATGCTGGAGCGGCTATCCATTGTTGGCCCTTACCCTCTAATGCGGTACAATTTCTCATTTGCACTTTTGACTTGTGCAGTTGTGCTAATATTAAAAAAAAAGATTAAAATTTATGTTGTTATACAACATGTAACTGCACAATATCTGCTTATAGTTACATCTGGTACATAAAAGCTTTTCCTAGTCAACCATAACTTTTCATCTGATAAAGATTTGTCTTGTATTAAACAAAACAACTGATGAAACCGGGATGCTTATAAATCATACTCTTACCTTCTCCATTGGGACCGTGCTGAAATTTTAGCAAAAGTATATAGAAGCATGAACATCCATTATTCGATATTAAATAGTGATAACATTTTCCCCTATGTGTTTCCAGTATAGCTTCCCTGATTCTATTCATGTTGTTGTCATCTGAATACGACATTGCATCTTAGCCAACTCGATAAATCAGAACTTAAATTGTATCATTAGTGCACTGCCAACCGACAATGACAATCCTGCCCTTCCATTCGTGTGATCATGAAATATTTACTGACGTCTAATTATCAGGTAGCTGAAATAAGCCGTGTCCTGAGACCTGGTGGAGTCTTTGTGGGAACCACCTTCTTATCCTCTCCCAGGAACAACCCATTCTCTGTTGAAGCACTAAGGCCACTTAGACAGGTATTTGGACATCTTTCCTAGTTACTTTTCTCTTTTTCGCTGAGCTTATCTAATTTGTTCTGCCTTTTACCACTTATTATGGTGCAGATTGTTGGACCAGTTAACACCAGCTACAACTATTTTACTGAACGAGAGCTAGAAGACTTGTGCAAATCCTGTGGCCTTGTCAACTACAGCAGCAATGTTCAGAGGTCATTTATCATGTTCTCCGGGCAAAAGCCGTATTGAAGAATTCTGTCCAAGTCCAATCTCTATTGTTTCTTCAGAATTCCTTGTAAAACACGTTTAAAAGTATTTGCATATATTTGTGCCATATTGTGCATAAGTTCCTTAATTTCTGTACAGTGTTCCTGAATGTATTCAGTACAAAAATGCACAAAAAATGCATGCTGCAGACTCTTAAAAAAGAAACATTGTTGCCCTACGTTTTCTGTGAATCAACACACTCATTGTTCTTGGCTGGGCTACTAGCCTGGAATAATGCTTGAATTCTATTGCTCTCCCAAAATTGCACGTACCAATACTGCAAGCCGAGACAGATTCAGAGTCCGTCTCCGTTTTATGTAATGGAGTGTTAGGTTTGAGAAATCAATCCATTCTAGATGGGGTGATGCATTATGGGTTCATTCTTCATTCCTTAACAGGCTGTTTGGTTTGCCGGATCAACCAGTCCGGATTGTCGAGGGACGAGGTGGCTCCTTGTTTTTCAGCGGATGAGTTGATTCCAGGATATGAAGAGCAGCCTTCACTACGAAGTATCACTCGGTGCCGGATGAAATCTTCCATGCCTCAATCCAAATAAGTTATAGGTTCGGACGTAGGATCAGATGGCTCCAGAGCCGATCCATGATGCAAACCAAGCACGCAGTAAGATTAGTGAAAGGACCTCATTTATCATACTAGTGCTAATTATGAGCTTACGAGAAATGAGACGGTGATAGATCAACTTTATTCTAAACCAAAAAAAAAAACTAGAGAGAGAGATGTTGATGGACCATTTCATTCCATAAACCGAACACCTCCTAATTGTTCCTCTTGTTTTTTTTGCACAGGGTGATTTTTAGAGAACCTTGTCACAGAATTACAACAAACTTTGGTATATATGGAATTGTCAGACTTATCGGCCATGACTATTTGGCTGCCTATATAGGGCATGTTTGGATACATATGGCTAGTTATTAGTTAGGGTAAAATCATCTCAAATTAGCTATGGCTGACTAGCTAGTTGCTAACAACTAGTTGAAGACTTGGCTCAAAAGTTAGCTCACCTAATAGCCCTCCAGGTGATGTACAAGAGCTAATTTTTATATAATAAACGAATAAAGTCCATTTGACCTTCCTCAATTGTTGTGTAAGTCTAATTTGCCTCCTTTAATCGCAGAACAGGATTTTTAGACTCCCACAACTTTTGAAACTGTCCAATTTACCTACCTAGGTGGTTTTGAAAGCAGTTTTGGCTGACCTGTGATGCCACCTCAGTCATGAGGGAGATAAATCGAATTTTCACGATAGTTTAGGGATGCCAATTAGACTTTAACAAAAGAACATAGAAATATTTTTTCATAAATTATCTAAAATTTCTATAACAAATATGCATTTAAAAATACTAAAAATCTAATTTGGCCATAGAAAAAATTCATAGAAAATTTGTTTTAACTTAGAAAAATATGAATCCAATTTTATATATTTTTCTAAAATCACGCTTTATGTTTTTAAACTAGGAACAATAATATAGAGCATGATTTTAGGAAACACACATCATGAGATTGTCCAATCTGCCTTCCTGCTCGAGCATGTGCTCCCTATGTCTGCACAGACCTACGACGACGACGATGAACAAGGAAACAATCATGTCCATCCCGATGTTGTCCAAGTCATAGACGTCTATTTGGGAGTATGAGAAGCCGCACATCGGCTGCCGTGAATTGGCACACATCATTGTCGTGATATTCCTCGGAGAAGAAAGTGTTGCTACAAATTTAAACCACATGATACACATTGTTAATGTGCTATTAGAACTTGTATTATATTTTTATTTGGTTATGGTGTATTTCTTGTTGGTTAAGCAATACATTGTTGTTGAGGAAATGCTTTTTGTAGTTTGCACATCAGGTTGCACGTTGATTCACGCTTCGGTCTGCAAGGATTTGTCTTGGCCCGCATCCTCTATTTCATATTTGACCTAGTTTTAGATTTTAGGAGAACATATAAAATTATAGAGCATGATTTTAGAATATATTTTTTAAAGTTAAAACAATTTGTCTATGATTTTTCTATGGTTAATCAGATTTAGTATTTTTAAATGCATATTTTGAAGAATTTTTTCTTTAACTATTTTGATAAAGATTAATTGATTTTTCTGAAGTATCATGAAAGTCCAATTTATCTCTCTTGTGGCTGTCGTGGCGCCATATAGGATAGCTTATGTGACGCTACGTCATCTAAAACTGCTTTCAAAATCTCATCAGCTAAAATCGTTTTGAAAACCACTTAAGACCTTGTTCGTTTCATCGCTAAACCATGGGGATTATCCCTCCCAATCTTCATGGTTTGGACAGAAAACGAATAGGGCCTAATAAACAGGTAAATCGAACGATTTTTAAAAGTTGAAGATTAAAAATCTGGTTTTACAATTAAGGGAGATAAATCGGACTTGCAAAATAGTTTGAGGGCCCAATTATACGCTCATGGGCTGCCGTCGCGCCTGATTTGACAGGGTTAGTCGACCCGATTGCTCGTGCTCGTTCATATTAGGTCTCCATTATGGGCCGCATATTCTTTTCCGGCCCGGCCTGGCCCGGCCTGGCCCGCCTCTCGGCGCCCGGCAGGCCGGCACGCGCCGCCGCCGCAGTCGGCGCCCCAGCCCCTCCCTGCCCTCCGCTTTGCCTCCCCAGCCCCACGACCCTCCTGTCCGCCCGTCCGCCACCGCCACCGCCATCGCTGCGCCGCTTCTCTCATCGTCGCCAGAAACGAAGCAGGACGCCCCTGCTACGCCGCTGATCTTGCGCTTGAAGATCAATCAGTCCGCTCACACAGTTCCCTACGTGCCGAAAATCCTGCGGAGACCTGGCGGAAATCGCCCGGTCTCCCCCGCCTCTGGCTCGGCCTCGCCCTTTACGCTACACCTTGAGATTTTTTATTCACTCGATCCAATCCGGCCCTGCAATTCTAGATTTTGCGAGGTACGGCGCCGATCAGGGGCCTGAGGGTGCGGCGGCCTAGGGTTTGTAGCTACTGGTGCCGTCGCGGCCCGGGGAGGCGGTAGAGGACAGCGACAGCCGCAGCCATGAGCGACGGCGAGCTCCATGAAGAGGAGAACCCGACAAACAGTGCCGCAGGTGAGCTCGACGACACCCAGGACTTCATCACAGCCACGTTATGCTTTTTGTTTGGTGTTGGTGCAAGAGCCGATGTGCGGCCCCTAGGGTTGTCAAATAGCTGGGTTCTGATGTGTTGGGTGTGCTATGTTAACTAGTGTATTTGCTGGGCTTTGTGCAACTGATTGTGGCGCCTATTTACAATGGGATTTGATAAACCGATGACATGCTGTCTGGTGCTATATAGAATTCGATGTTCTTTTTTTTGTGTGTGGAGAAGATTTTAGTTGCGGGAGCTACATGCACCCATGTAAGATGAGGTGGTTGGCATGCTGATCTGCTATGGGCTTGTAATTGTGAAGTTGCAGTCTTTAGAGTCGGCTGTGAGAATCATAAAACTGCAAAATGATGTTATGAGTATGAAGATGATCCTCTGTAGGGTTAACTGTTCCATGACGATCTTCTGTATTTTATGCGATGTCTTGAAACTTAATTTGATGAAATGTTGGTTGAAACTAGCATTAAGATTCTCCGATGCTGCATCTTTAAAATACTGAAAACATGTAACCCTCTGTTTGGGAATGCATTGTGTCATCATTAGTCCTCAGATTCTTAGTTTTCCTAACAATTTCCTGAGGTTGCTCCAAAACTGGATTTATTTGAAGCTAAGTACAATTGATGAAATGTTGGTTGAAACTAGCAATGAGTTTGTTTGAATAACCCCATCTTATTTATTAGTGATTACTGTTGTCATCCTTACAGATGACGATGATGACGAGGATTATGAGGAGCCTGGTGGAGGAAATCACTTCTTGGGGTTTATGTTCGGCAATGTAGATGATTCTGGTGACTTAGATGCTGACTATCTTGATGAGGTACAGACTTCTAATATCTGATTTTGTTGGCATGCAAATGTCCTGTTTTTTGTTGTTTTGATTATTTTATTTCACGTGTCTGCCTCTAGCAGATGACATGCATCTCTATCTGTTTTTGATCTTAGTGCATTCTCAATTGGTCATGATTTGATACAGATTAACTTCTTTGTTGGTGCTCTTTTTCTTAACATTTTGATCCGTATAACTTATACTTTAGGGTGCTCAGTTGCTTTATAGGAACCAGCATTACTAAAAGAACCATATTCTACTGATTAAATTGATTTGATTTGAGTTCTGAAAATGATGAGATAGGGAAAATCAATGCTATGAACCAAACTATTCTCAGTCCATGCATTGTAATTTTCTCGTAAGTTGGATATTTTCTGAATAGTCTTGAGCTCACTAAATTTTAGCCAGAACAAAGGTTAGTTGCGCAGCCTTAGGGTACTTTTGTTTTATTGTTTTCCCATTGAGTCTCTGCAGGAAACCAAGTCACTATTTAGTTATGTTTATAATGTAAATTGGATGTTGCATTTCTTTATTATTTTTATTTTGCTTAATTCAGGATGCAAAGGAACACCTTTTTGCACTGGCAGATAAGCTTGGTCCATCTCTCAAAGACATTGACGTATGTTATCTTATGCATATAGTTAATTTTACTTACCTATTTTATTACCAAACAAGTTAATACTATGTTGTTTGCTAATTAGCTAATCAAGTCTTCTCCAGCACCAACTGATCCTTCTGAACAAGGTTAGTGACATATTACTGTTTCCATATAAGCTGCGCCTACAGTTTTGAGAGTCATTCATCAAGCCAACTTTGCCATTGGTCAGGAAGGCCTTATTCTTCTTTTCCGTGTCAAACTATGCACATAATTGATAACACATCTTTTTGCTGTTATGTAGACTATGATGAGAAGGCAGAAGATGCTGTTGATTATGAAGATATTGATGAAGAATATGATGGACCTGAAGTTGAAGCAACTACAGAGGAAGACAATGTGTTGTCAAAAAAGGATTACTTCTCTTCATCTACAGTGTATGCATCGGTGAATAGTACAGTTTCAGTGTTTGACGATGAGAATTACGATGAGGAAGAAGAACCACCCAATGATAATGAACCTCCTGGTGATAGTGCTGCCCAAAATTTATCTTCAGGTGATACTGGATAACGTGCCTAATGTTTTCAAGTTCCATTTTGTTAGTGTTCATTCCATTTCTTACTACTTTCTTGTTCCCATGCTACCCCTGTTATTTGTTCCTTCCATCTAGTGATTAAACATTTGTAGCTTGGCACCTCCTTTTTGGTCTGCAACTTTTTGTCTTCATATTTGCATGTCCAACTTCCCCCTTCTGGCTTGGGCAAGCGTTGGTGGTAGCGATCAAGTCTGTTCCAGTCTAACTCTAATAAAACCTGAACTGAAGACTTGACCATCCTTTTTCACCTTTTTTCTTTTGTGACCATATATTCTAGTTTGGCATAAACTTCACTTTTAATTATTGAAGATGAAAACTTGTGAAAATGTTATGCAACCGTTTTGTTCAAGCACACTTGATTTTAATTGCTGAGTACATGTTATAAAATAAATAGAGCATTTGTTTTTCTTGAAACAACTAGAGCATTCATCTGTCAGCACTAACACATTGAATTTCAATCTTTTTATCTAATAATATTTGTTATAGCTAACTGACTTGATTCTCATTTCTCGTAATCTTTTTGGATATAGTTTCTATCGAGCAGGCAGATATGGCAACCTCAAGCGATAACCTTGCCATGGAAAAGATTGGCTTGTTATCACATCCAGAAGAAGGCATGGACTTTGAATATGAAGATTTGGAGGTATGTGAAGCCTGAACCTAGAAATTAACATTGCATTGTCCTGTATCATATTTATATAATTATAGCACTTTTCTTATTCATCTTTAATTAAACAGAATGAAAAGGGCACTGGGGAAGGTCATCTTGAGCCTGAAAGTGCGACTTCCCTCCCTGTTTTATGCATAGAGGATGGGAACGCGATCCTGAGGTTCTCTGAAATTTTTGGTATCCAAGAGCCTGTAAGAAAAGTGAAAACAGATCACCACAAACGTCCAGTGAATAAAGGTATTCTGCATGTTGCAACAAAAAGATCCAAGAAGCACCACCCTCTCCCATGTATGCAAGATCTTGATAGATAGTTGGTAGCTGGAGGGTGTTACCTGAAAGCAATGGTTACTGGGAACATAGTTATCCATACTGCTCATGTGCTCAATTTGAGATGAAGAAATTTAACTGCCACTGTCTATGTCAACAGTTTATACTTATCATTTCCAAAAATCTGATTTCCAATGTGTTCATTCTGTCTGAGGGCAAGTATCTGATTTGATGAAACAGTAGTTCTATACAAATTGGCTCCTGCCTCTTCTGATTAGGCCTAGTTATTATTACAGTGTTTTGAAACTAGGCCAAATACAAATGCTGCACGTGAGGTCTAATTCGCCTCATCGTTCCGATAACTGTAAAAAAGATATAGCCTATCAAAAGGGCCAACTATATGGAAAGGCAAGAAGGTTGTTGCCTTATTTCTTTCAGGTCTTCTAATTGATTGGTGTTAAGAAAAATTATTAATATGTGAACCTAATCTGCATCTGTATGACTTCTAGTTTGATTTATTGATCCTTTTGCAGCATAACCATTGTTGACAATTGCTTTATTTTCTGCTGATTTCCACAAAAGGAATGTATTTGATCTTTTTTTACTGCTATATGAATGTACATATGTACTTTATTTTCCTAACATCAAACTACCACAAGGCTTTGTTGCTCCTATGTGCCGCAAGTCAATAGCTTGTTATCGCAGTTACTCCGGGTCAAAACATTTGAATACATCTAATATCATATTTGTCTTGTTGTAATTACTTCCAGAGCTTCAGATCACAAATGTTGCTGACAATGTTGAAGAAGATGAGGAACTAATTCTCCGGAGCACTATCCAAAATTTCTCAACTTTGAAGCACATCCAGATGAATGAAGATTTTGTTGAGAGTGACAGTGATGAGTCTATTTCTGATGTCACTTTAAGGCTAAAGGATTCATGTCTTTCAGAACAACCAATGAAAGATGCACATAAGGATATTCGTACTATCCAGCGATCTCCAATTTGTCCTGATTTTTATCCACTTGAGCATGATGATTGGGAAAATGATATCATTTGGAACAATTCACCAGCAACTGATCAGCAGCCTTATGCAAAAATCTGTGAATCTGAAGAGAGTGTGGACACTCAAGGTGAAGACCAGGGTAAGGATTATGGCCAGGTCCCCAGGTGTTGGGATGTACAGAGTAAAAGCAATGGTTCCCCAGTAATTGAAGAGACTTTTGGTTGTACAGAAATGCCTGCTCCAGATAACTACTGTTCCCCTGGGAAAAGTTACCCTCCACTGACAAATGAAGATAACTTAGATCACATAACGCCAAATAACTTAGATGATACAGTTAAAATTGACACCACGATGCGTTTAAATAACCTTAGTTTACTGAACAGGGAATTATTAGAAGGATCATGGTTGGACAACATAATTTGGGATCCTACTGAGGTTACCACAAAGCCTAAACTGATCTTTGACCTCAAAGATGATCATATGCTTTTTGAGATCCTAGATGAAAAGAATGTGGATCACCTCCGGTCTCATGCTCATGCTATGATTGTTAGTCAGTCAACCAATACTTCAACACCAACAGTTGATAATTTTGACAATCAAGCAAAGACATTGAGTGGCAGATTCAACATCTCCAATGACAAGTTTTATTCAAATAGGAAGACTCCACAGCAAGCTAAATCTCATACTAAAAAACGTGCTTTAATGGGCATAAAGGTGGTGCATTCTGCTCCAGCTCATAAGCTGCAAACCATGAAGCCAGTATTGAGCAAGTATGAGGCCTCCATCCCTTCCTGCCAAATTCTGATTATGTGCATCCATGATTTCTCATCTTCTATTGTCTTACAAGCGACTCAAATGAATTTGTCATGCTTTCAACTGTTACATTGTTACTTCATTGACGTGACTAGAAATGCAAGAGTGAATAATATTTTTTTAAGTAACATATTCCTTTTAACTGAATATTTATTTCATTTTGAGCCTTTATCTATATCTAATCTAGAGTAGCAGTGGTTTGTTGTTCCGAGGAAATATTTCTGTAACTATGAATATTCTTTAGTCTGCATGGCTATTTGATGGAGATAGTTATGCCCCCTGTTCAAGATAAAGATAAAGTATCAGATGCATGAGAGTATGTATTGGAAACATATGCACCAACTCGTTCTTGTGCTCGGAGGTGGAAATTTCGCCATCCCTCAGCTTTCTATCTGTCTGAATCCTCAGTCTTAAGAAATATGAAGGAGCTCCCACCTCCCACCAAGGCAAAAGATTTAGTTTGTGTGTGTTCAAAGACTCTTTGTGCACCTGATATTTCCTCTTAACCTATAAAAGAAAACTTTCAGAACTTGAAAGTGTGATCATAGGTTGTTTTTCAAGTCATATTTGGTTAAGTGGAAGCTAAATCTACTGCTTGACGAAAGTGTGATCATAGGTTGTTTTTCAAGTCACATTTCGTTGTCATGCTTATGTCACCCACTGCATCTTTATTTTTTCTTTGCACATGGAACTGCACTATAGTGTTTATTGTTTTTTGGCCAAATCATCTCTAATAAACAGTAACTTCTCTGATTGTCAACTTTGTGCAGTAAGGAAATTGCAAACTTTCATAGACCAAGAGCTAAGTGGTACCCACATGAAAATAAAATTGCCGCTCAGTTACAAGGAACTGCTTGTAGCCATGGGAGGATGGCTGCTTTACTTATGTCATTGGGAGGAAAAGGAGTCAAGATTTTGGTAAATGCTGAGGACACTCCGGTCTCTGTCAAATTAAAAGCATCAAAGAAGTTCGGTTGGTATCCGTTTACTACCCCCATTTGTTTTGATTTTTCTTTATTTGGAATTTTTTTTGTTATGCTTATGCTTTTTGTTGAGCAGTTGGTTGCTAATACATGTACTGTGTAATTTAAGCCCCCAAAAGGAAAGACAAATGGTCATTTCCTCCAGTTTAATTAGTTTTCTCACTGCCTTGGCTTTTTGCAGAATTGAAGCCTTCCGAGAAGATCAAATTGTTCTGTTCTGGGAAAGAGCTTCAGGATGACATCTCGTTAGCAATGCAAAATGTGCGACCAAACTCCATTGTGCATGTTGTTCGCACTGAAGTGTATCTATGGCCAAAAGCACAGAAATTACCTGGTGAGGACAAGCCTCTACGCCCTCCTGGGGCTTTCAGGAAAAAAACTGACTTGTCTATCAAGGATGGACATGTTTTTTTAATGGAGTAAGTACAATTTATTCCCCCTTATTGTTTCTTGAAGTATTAATTTCAATGAACCTTAACGTATGTGACTTTGTATAGGTGCTGATTTTTTGAATGTTAGTTGCTAGTTCAACCAAGTGGTATTGCACAACTTTTGATGTGGCATGGTCTGTTAAGTTAAAATTTGATCATAGATATCTCTTGAATTATGTTGTTATGAGCTACAAAATTGTAACCGTAAGAATGCACATTGAAATTGGGATATTTTTCTACCAGTTTTGTATCTCATTGAACTCATATATAGTTGACCGAATTATTATCTAGAAGTTACTTCCTCCATCACATAGCTTTATTTATAGTGTTACGAACTTTGGCCAGAGATTTCTCTTATAATATTTTATTAATAGTTACAAAATCACAATTCTATGTACCTTTGAATACGAATCCAATGATACCAATTTTCTATGATTTGATCACATACCTCGTAGATTCTTATATTAATTTATCGATTAAACTCGAACTTAGACAGTCAAAATATGGCTTATATTTCTGGATGGAGGAATTACAATGTTTGAATTTTTAGATGATATACCTTACACTAATGGAGGGAGTATGTGTGAGGTTGCTTGTTGGGTAGGTATTTGTGCTTGTGATTTGCTTGTCGATATTATGGACTTCCTATCATGGTAGCACATGTGTTAGTGACACATGAATGCAGATACTGTGAATAGAGAGCTCTGATACTTTACAACGAATTTTTTTATTCTTTTACCTCTATATTTTGTTGTTGTTGTTGTTGTTGTTGTTGTACCTCTATATTTTGGCCAAGTGCTAATCATTATGTTTATATGTGCAAGACTGTGTTAGTTATGCACATTGGCAAATTCTGATTATGTTTTTTCCCCACTATAGTAATTCATCTGTCATTTATTGCCTTGAGTGCAGATATTGTGAAGAGAGACCTTTGCTTCTCTCGAATGCAGGAATGGGAGCCCGTCTCTGTACATATTACCAGAAAACTTCCCCTACTGATCAGACAGCTGCATCACTGCGAAACAACAGTGATGGACTGGGCACAGTGCTTGCAATTGATCCTTCTGACAAATCGCCTTTTCTAGGAGATATACATTCTGGGTCCCACCAATGTTGTCTTGAAACAAACATGTACAGATCACCTGTATTTCCTCATAAGGTTGCACCAACTGATTACTTATTAGTTCGTTCAGCCAAAGGGGTGCTTTCTCTCCGTCGCATTGACAAGCTATATGCTGTTGGCCAACAAGTAAGCTCTGGTGCCTGAAATACTATGTTCTGTATAAGTAGGATGTGCAATGTTTCCAACCCTTTCCTATCTGAAGTTTCTCCTTATATTGTCAAGTACAGGATTCCCTCACTGAATTCTCTGCTGTGGTGCAATTCCAAGCTTTACACTGCAGACCATGTTCTGAAATATTCATTGTTTCCTCTTAGGTTTAGCTTGTGCTTTTTCTGTGTGGGACCTTTAGGCTTTACCGCTTTAGTGAACATAGCTGAAATATTGGATATTCCTTTGTTACAGTGGTAGAGATAGCTCTCGTCCATCATGTTTTTCATTTATGCTTAGCAGGGAAATTCAATTTGTTTTATTGATAGGGATCTGCTATGAAGTTCAGTAATGTAGTGTGTTGCATGTTTTAGAAGCTTCTTTGGCGCAGTTTTAGCATGGCATTGCACTTGTTGAATGACCCTACACGATGGCAGTTTGTTGTCAGCAGGTGAGAACAGAAGTACATGAGAACATCTGAACATGAACGTTACAAATATGACTGGTATATGGTTATTGATTTCTGCGTAAAAGTCTGAAGAAATTATGTTCTGTATTCACTTCTTTTGTCAAACAAATGTAACACTCCTTGAGTTCTTTGTTTTTTGTGTCAAGAATGCTCCTCGAGTTCTTGTTTCCATTCAATTTCTGCTGTTGTTAGAACAGTACATTTAAAATAAATCATAAAGTGTTTAGGAGCTGTTCTGTCTTGGAACTTTAACAATTTCATCCATAACTTAATAGTCATGGTTTCCTGCAGGAACCTCATATGGAAGTCTTTTCACCAGGGACTAAGAACGTGCAGAATTATCTTCTGAACCGAGTTCTTGCATATGTTTATCGTGAGTTTCGTGCTAGAGAGAGGCCTGATGGTATTCCTCAGATTCGAGCTGACGAGTTACCCATACAAAGTCCTCTGACAGAAGCTATAGTGAAAAAACGATTGAAGCATTGTGCAGATTTGAGGGTATCTGTCTATCACACATGTTATACATAGTTTCTCTATCTGTACATTTTTATATTTTAATTCTGGACTCTTATTCAACCATATTTAATGCTCTCCTGCACTTCCTTACAGAAAGGACAAAAGGGGCATTTTTTCTGGACACAGAGACCTGATTTCCGGGTTCCATCAGAGGAAGAACTGAGGAGATTATTGACGCCAGAAAGTGTGAGTTTCTGCAAATTATTGTTGCCCTTGTGTCAATCAGTTGTTTCTTGATGACAAATTTTTTCCACGAAAGGATGGCAAAAGCTTTGCCGCAAATTTTATTAGAAGAAGAAAAAGAAACAAGTATTGGCCCAGTTTTTTTAGGGAAACCGGGCCCGAAAACCCAACACCACCTCCCCCAAACACAACTAATAAAACAACAAAAGTTCTCCACGGACAAACTCAACACCACTAGCTGCTCAAAAAAAACAAACAATGAGCCAACTAGAAAGAAACGGCCAAACCACTAAACAACTCACACTCCAGCTAAACCGACTAAACAACTATCACAACTAATAACCAAACATCTACCAAGGCAAAATGGCACCAACTTGGACAACAACTATCAGGCTTCAAAGGTCTTGCATGCTGTCGCTCCAAACCTTTTCAATGCTCCTTTCACTAAAAACTGGCCAAGTCTTTTGCCAATCGCCAATACAACAACAGAACTGGATAGCAAGCTTATCTTTCAAAGAAATGCTTTATTTTGCACGGAAATTCTCGTGGAAATGTGAGTGCTTATCACATTGTGCTGGCTATATATGGACCACAAGCACTGGTTATTAAGCCATACCCACATTTCCAAATATATAGGGTGAAATGTTTTTAAAAATTGGGTCATCAGAGTAAGTTGACTGCGAATATTTTTCATATAGAAAGTTCTATTGAAAGCAAAAATACCTAAATAATGAGGATATTTATTCTTTGAAGGTTGCCTTACCTTGTTGCCTTGATGTCTAATTACAGTTCTCTTTTCAATCCGAAATATCACGATGACTCAACTAAAACATCATTATCCAGGTTTGCTGTTATGAGAGTATGCAAGCTGGTCTTTATCGTCTCAAGCGCTTAGGAATTCTGAAGCTTACTCAGCCTGTTGGACTGGCTTCTGCTATGAATCGGCTTCCTGATGAGGCTATTGAGCTTGCTGCTGCATCACATATCGAGAGGGAACTGCAAATCACTAGCTGGAATCTTACAAGTAATTTTGTTGCTTGTACTAATCAGGTACCTTACTCTTTGTCTCATATGGTGTTTTACTCAAGTAATCTGATCCGGAACATCACTAGTTTTATTCAATATCAGTTCATTGACCTAAAACCATGTATTGTTCGTAAAAACTGCTGAGTGCTACTTGATGTGCTCTATGCTTTAGAGAGACTGCAGATAACCTTCATATTTATTCGTTCCCGATTAATATTGGGAGATAAGGGTCACTGTTTGGTATCAACAGAAAGAAAACTTGTACAGGGTAATTAGTTGTTGATCACATTAGGTCTTGTTGGGTGTACAGGGAATGAGAGCAGGAATGCTGGGAGCCCAGTCCATTTCCTATGATGTTGATTTACATGGAATATCCCCCATCGACCTGTTGATCTTTGGATGTGACATGGTCCTGAAAACCCAGCCGAGTCCATGGCGATTCCCCTCAGCCCACTGGGATAAATAAGTCTTCATGGGATGGGTACTTTTGATTCCTGTCGGATACCATGAGAAGGGGTACCCTAAGCAAGATCCAAAAAACGACTGCTTAGATTTCGTAAAGATCGAAACCCACGACTAATCAGCTGGCCCTCGGCCGATTCTCCGACTCGCCTGAGGCCCCATCACCATGGCCTCGGCCGATTCTCCGACTCGCCCGAGGCCCCATCACCACTGGCCTCGGCCGATTCTCCGACTCGCCTGAGGCCTCATCACCACGGACCTCACCGATTCTCCGATTCGCCCGAGGCCCCCACACCGCGGGCCTCGGTCGATTCCCCGCCAAAGGCCTCGGCCGAGGCCACCGACCCTCCGTCTCTCAAGAAGGCGGGCTCAAGCGACACTCCGCTACCTCTTCCTTCTCCCGCCCCTCCGCAAAACGTCAGGTCGCATCAACTCGACCAATCACGCTTCGACAATACCAGATGCCCGCACAAAGATGCAGATGAGAATGGCCGATGGGACAGAGGCGGGATCAAGGCGGGGTTACCCGCCATCAGATTAACCACTGCGGCACATGGGTTGACGCCCATGCCTCACTATCTTTGCCAACTCCTCGCACCGAGGACAATGCAGCGTGGGGAGCCACATCCGGCTATCGTGGGCCTCGGAATCGCACTCAGAGCAATAATTCCTCCAAGGCCTCGGCAGCTTGCTCCAGGGCTCGACAAACCGAGGACCCATGTCCGCCAAAGCCCCTCATGATGGCTTGGCCTCGCACCTACAGAGCCACAACCCCTCACGACGTCATCACGCGATGACTCACGCGACGTCCCGGCCCCCGATCAAGCGGGGGTTACCCGTCACTATGCTATCCACCATGCACATGGTTGACACCCATGCCTCATCAGGCCGCCAACTCCCGCTCCAAGGACAACGCAGCATGGGGAGCCACGTCTGGGCTATCGTGGCCTCGGAATCGCACCTGGGCCAATAACTCCCCAAGGCCTCGACAGCTTTTTGCTTCACGGGCTCGGCAAATGAGGGTCCCATGACCACCGAGCCCCCACGATGGCTCGGCCTCGGATCTGCAGAGCCACCGCTCCTCACGACGCCATTACATCGGCGACCAAAGACGTCGCCCGCCATGTCCCGTCATCAAGCCGCATCGAGCCCCACGACGACACAAGACCGAGTATGACCAAAGATGTCACTTCCGCATGACAAGGACGGGGCCACTCCATCGACCATACCACAACAAAGGCCGACTACGTGGCTCGGACACGCCACCCCATTTACTGAAGCGCTATGTAGCACCACAGCACGGTCCCGGTCCTCCTTAGAGTATAAAAAGGGAGGGATCAGGGCCATTTCGGAGAGAGGCCGAAAAGACGAACACGCCGATAGAACCACGCACTCCTACGCCGCTTGGGAACAACGCCTCAAGCAGCCCGCACCACACTCGCCGAGACACGGGCTAGTTCCTCTCTCACCTAGCTTGTAACCCCCTACTACGAGCACTCCGGTGCAAGGAATACAAGATCGATCTCTGACCGGACGTAGGGCCTCGATTGCTCGAACCAAGATAAACCTTGTGTCTCTTTGCGCCACCATCCGGATTAGGGGCACGCAAAGACAAATTCACTCGTTGGTTGAGGGACCCCGGTTCCAAAACACCGGCAGTTGGCGCGCGCGCCAGATAGGGCGCTGCGTGTCGCCTTCGTCATCCTAGCAAGTTCCGGATGGCGGACTACATACGACCATTGCGTCTCGGCACCATAGTTTGGTTGGGGAGCCTAGAGTTCATGTCTCTAGGGCATGAGTACGACATGGTGCTCCTCACTCTCGAACCCCATCGTCCGACGACGAAGTCGCGCCCGGCAGCCCAGCCAGCAGCGCAAGGCGCTTTCGGGCGTCCGCTCGCCGCCACGCCGCCAGCACGACGCGAGCAAGGCCACCCCGACGCTACGCGAGCCTGTGGCGACACGCCTCTCCCGCCGATGTCCTACGACCACCGTTGAGGCACGGGTCCCGGGTCGGGGACCCGTCGACCCGAGCTCGATTTAGGAAAATCGCCGGTGGCTTACGGCGATGCCCAGGTCGTCTAACCCCGCCCCCGCCACTCCTCGAAGAGCCGACCGGTAGTGGCGTAATATGGAGACGGCCCCGCCCCCATACCCCTTTGGGTTGAGAAATGCCGCCGCCTTTCACGCCACGCTTACGCCGCCACTCACGAGCACCCCTCGAACGCCGCCAAAGGCTTCGCTTCTCGACTTGAGCACCCGCCCGACGACTTCGGACGAGGATTTAGGCATGGCCTGTGGTGGATTTCTCCGAACTTCACAACCACGGGATTTGCGCCAATTCTTGGCCGCAGCGACCATCGCCTCGGCCATCTGACCGACGATGAAGGGACTTACGATCCATCTCGTGAGTGCTTCCACGTCGGGCTCGGGATGCCAAGGGCGGGCGAAGGGAACGAGAGGACAGGCAACCATTCCCCGCCCCGGGCAGGGGCGGGCGACGCCACACCACCGCGTCTCGAGGCAACCATTCGCAGCTCGTCGTCGATCAGGTGATGAAAGAGTCAAGCTGCCATGACCCCAAAATGAAGGCGTACTGCACGATAGTACGTCGCCTGGAGGACAAGTTCGACGGCCTCGAACTCAACCACGTCGCTCGAAAGTTCAACGAGGCCGCGCAGACGAACTAGCAAAGATGGCGCTCAAGACGGACCCCTTCCCCGAACGCTTTCGCAGAGACCTCCACAAGCCATCCGTCGACTACGCCTCGGCGATAGAAGGGGGCCCATCGACCGAGCCCGCCCGCACGGCTCGAGGCCCTTCTACCACCGAGACCTCGCCACCAAGCCCGAGGCCATGGCGATTGACGAAAGCCTCCCCAGCCGACCCCGAAACGGATCGGCGAGTCCTTTCCTTGATCGCCTCGTTCGGGAGAGCTTCCTCCGACGTAACCGGCTCGGCGGCCACATGGCGCGCCAAGACTTACGCCCTCTGCGACGGCGAGTTGTATAGGCGTAGCCCATCCGATATTCTCCAACGATGCATCACCACCGAGGTGGCCAATCCTTACTTTGGGACTTGCACGCTGGAGTCTGCGGGCACCACGCTGCGCCTCGGGCGCTGTGGGTAACGCCTTCCGCTGGTTTCTATTGGCCGACGGCGGTGGCCGACGCCCACGAGGGCTAGTACGCCTCGCGCGAGGGATGCCAAGATTACGCCGACAGACGACCTCCCGCCCAAGTTTTCCAAACCATCCCCATCACATGGCCATTCACCGTATGGGGTTTGGACATGGTTGGGCCTCTCGCAAAAGCACCCGGGGCTATACCCATCTGCCGGGTAGCTATCGACAAATTCTCCAAATGGATCGAGGTTTCGTCCGATCGCTTTCGAGATCAAATCCGAGCAAGCGGTGCCGTTTTTTACGGATATCATCCACGTGTTCGGGTTCCTAACACCATCATCACCGACAATGGGACACAATTCACCGGCCGCAAGTTCCTAACGCTCGCTGACGACCACCACATCTGGGTGGCCTGGTCACCGTAGGACACCCAAGGACCAATGGCCAAGTAGAGCGTACAACGCATGATCCTATAAGGCCTTAAGCCAAGGATATTCAACCAGCTTGAAGAAGTTTGGCAAGAAATGGCTTGCCGAACTCCCGTCACCATCTGAGCCTAAGAAATACCCCGAGCCGAGCCACGGGATTCACACCGCTCTTCCCCGGTCTATGGAGCCGAGGCCATCCTCCCCATCGACTTAGAATACGGCCCCGAGGCTACTGTGCATACAATGAAAGCAAAGCAACCGCCTTCGCCTGCCAAGACGCCCTCGACCACCGGAGGAAGCTCCGAGACGTCATATTTGCTACACTCGCCAGTACCAAAGAAGCCCTACGACGCTACCAAGCCCGGCAGCGTCCGGCCGAGACTCAAGGTGGGCGACTGGTCGAGGCCGAGGCAGAGCAACAAGGGCCGCCATAAGTCGACCCCACCTCGGAAGGGCCGTACATCGTCGCTCAAGTGTCAAGCCCGGACCTACAAGTTAGCCAACGAGAAGGGCGAAATCTTCACCAACGCTTGGAACATAGAACAACTCGTCGTTTCTACCCTTAAAATTCCAAACGTTGCTTACATTGTTTCTCGAAATGCAATAAAGAAGCGTTCTTAGTTGTTATAACTTTTCGAGAAACCCCCTATAGACTAGCCGATCGATAGAACCCAAGGACCGTGACGATCGCCTCAAAGGCGAAAAAGGCCGGTACCGAGTTGCGAAAACGGCCTCACGCCCAAGCTACGGCAACTCCTCACCACCTTTTCACCCAAAAGACAACAGAGGGCTCTGAGGAAGTTCTCATGCAGAGCTTGTCTATCAATAGGGGCTCGACGTCACAATAGCGCTTATAGGAGACTCAAGGCCGCCTCCATAAGCCGGGCCTCCCTCGGGGCTAGAAAGGGGGGGACCCCTAAGTCCCGAACACCATTTGTTAATGGTCTTTCAAAAATTTCTACGCCTAAAACTCTCTCAAGGCCGATGGGACCTTCACAAGAAACCCAAAGA